TTTTAATTGAGAGTCAGTGTGGAGCAATGGTTTAAGCGTTGGACTACAATTCTAGAGCCCAGGATTCGAATCCCTGCTCAGCCACGGAAACCCATTGGTTGGGTTTCCATGGCAAGTCACACTCTCTCAGAGAAAGGCAAAGGCAAACCTCTGAACAAATCTTGCCAAGAAAACCCCATGATAGATTTGCCTTAGGGCAGGGGTAGGCAACCTAAGGCCCGGGGGCCGGATGTGGCCCCCCGAGGCCTTTGCACCGGCCCCAGGCCAGTCCTGCTGCCGCTGCCACCGCTGCTGTCCCCCGCTACCCCCTGCCGCCGCCGCCTGCCATGATATTGATTATTGTTGTTATTACTTGTTCTTGGGGTTTTCTTGGCAAAATCTCCACAGGGGTTTTGCCATGGCTTTTCTGGGGCTGAGAGAGTGTGCATGCATATTTTTTTTAATTAAAAAAATTTAATGTTTATTTTCATTTATTTATTTCGGCCCCCCAGTTGTCTGAGGGACAGCAACCGGGCCCCTGGCTCAAAAAGGTTGCCTACCCCTGCCTTAGGATGACGATAATTCAGAAATGACTGGAAGGCACACAACATTTTAATCATAATTATCTGGATTTCTCCTAAATCTTGATCCCAATGTCTGTTTGGCATTTGGCCAGGAGAGAAGGACTGACCAAACATAAGATATAGCATGGAATGTTACCTTTTAGATGTAATTACTTATGTAGTTTGTTGGAGGGAGAAATAACTTGTTATCATTAATGCTACATGACTTTTATAAAGTAACATATTGCTTTAATTGTTTCATTGATAGGATTTTAAAAAAACCCAAAATTCCAGGACTGACAACAGAATGGCATAAAAACGAGGGGAAATGATGTGAAAGACCTCTAAAAATATCCTAAAATGCCTATAAAAATAACCATATCTGTAGCTTAATGGCCAGAAGACAGTTAATGTCTTACGTTGGTGGACCTATGCCAGTACGGGGGAGAGGGCAAGAGGAACAAGGCCATGGGCAGAGTGGCAATGGAGGAAACCAGGTGTTGGAAATAGGTTATTGTGAATTGGTGTTGAAATAGGTTGCTTGAAATGGGCCAAGATTTTGTCTGCCTTTTCTTGCCACCATAGAACAAATCTGTGTGTGTGTGTGTGTGTGTGTGTGTGTGTGTGTGTAACCACCAGCACAGTGCACCAACAAGAGCCCAAAGATTAACCTTCCCACCCAAAAAGTACTACCATTCCCACTCCCACACTATGCTGGTCATTACATTTTCTGCCCTTACGTGCTGAACTTCCTAGGGGGTTGCAGACTGCCAGAAATAGTGCAAATTGAGTCCACTTT